TGAGGAGCAGCTAACAAACATTTTTTTTTCTCACATTGTGGGTTGTCTCTTCACTCTGTTGGTGGTTTCTCTTGCTGTGCAAAAGCTTGTTAATAAGATGCAAACACAGTTGTTGATTTTTGTGATCATTCCTGTTTGATTAGGATATTATTCATAAAGTCTTTGTCTATACCAATATCTTCAAGAGTTTTACCTACTCTGTCTTTCAGCAGATTTAAGGTTTCTGTTTACTATTTAAATCTTTGGTCCATTTTAACTCTTGTTTAGCATATGGTGAAAAATATAGATCTATTTTTAATCTTTGGCATGTGCAGAGCCAATTTTTTCAGCACCATTTATTAAAGAGGCTACCTTTCTTCCAATGAAAATGTTTGGTCTCAAAAAAAAAATGTTTGGTCTCTTTTCAAAGATAAGGTGGTTGGGTGTGTTTATAATTGTGTCTGCATCTTCTAATGTGTTTCATTGACCTTCAGGTCTGCTTTTTATCTTACTTTATTTTATTTTATTATTTTTTGTCAGTACCAAGCTGTTTTTATCATAGCAGCTTTAAAATATAACATCAAGTCAGGGTTGTGATGCCGCCTACCTTGCCTTTGTTGCCCAGAATTGCCTTTTCTAATTGAGGTCTCTTCTGGTTCCAAATGAATTTTAGGAGCAAGGGATATCTTTCTATTTTCTGATGTTCTCTTTGATTTCCTTTTTCAGAGTGCTATAGTTTTCAATGTAGAGGTCTTTTACATCTTGTGAGATATATATATACATATATATATATGTATATATATATATCACATATTTTATATATTATATATACATAATTTTTTTTGTATTTTAGGGAAGGGTCTACAGGGTGTTCAGGGTCTCACCACTAGATTGGACTTGGAGTGATTCTCCTGTTTACAGCCTCCCAAGTGCTGGGATTATAGGTGTGCGCCACCACGCCCAGTCTCAATCACTGTCTCAGCATTCCCTGGGGGCGGAGCCAGCATGACAGACCCAAGGATGGAACCCCTGGCCCCTGCGCCTGCTTGCAGGTGCTTTAATCCACTGAGCTATTTGGCCAGCCCTCCTGTGTCATATTGATTCATAGGTATTTTTTTTTTTTTTTTCTCTTTTGGATCCTGTTGTGAAATGTGTTCTTTCCTTAATTTCTCTCTCAGTGAGTTTATTATTTGTATATCAGTAGGCCATTGGTTTTTAGTGTTGACTTTGTATCCAGCTGTGCTGCTGAATTTGTTTATTAAATCTAGCAGTTTTTTACTGGAGTTTGGTCTGCTACGTAGAGCATCATGTCATCTGTAAATAATAATAATTTAACTTATTTTCCTATCATTAGTCTTTTTATTTTTCTTGTTTAATTGTTCTGGCTAAAGGTGGAGACAGCCAACAATCTTGTCTTATTCCTGATTTTAAAGTGAAATCTTTCAGTTTTTGTCCATTTAGTATGTGTTGGCTGTTGGCTTGTCATAAATTATTTTATCCGATTATCAGTTTATCAGTATCTATTCCAATTTTCTGTAGAGCTTTTATCATGAATGGGTGGTGGACTTTATAAAAAAGCTTCTTCTGCGTTGTTGAAATGATCACATGATTTTTGTCTCTGGCTCTGTTACCAGAGCCAAAATGGTGTATTTCATTTATAGATTTACCTATGTTGAAACCTCCCTGCATCCCTGGAATGAATCCCACTTGGTCATGGTATGTAATCTTCTTAGTGGTTTTCTGCATTCTGTTTGCCAGCATCTTGTTGAATATTTTTGTGTCTATATATTGATTAGGGGGATTGGTTTGTGATTCTCTTTCTTAGTTGGGTCTTTCTCTGGTTTTGGTGTCAGGGTAATGCTTGCTTCCAGGAATGAATTTGGCAGTGTTGCTTCCCTTTCAATTTTATTAAAGAGTTTGAAAAATATTGGTGTTAGGAAATTCTCTAAATTTCTTATAAAATTCAGCAGTGAATCTGCTGGGTCCTGGGTTTTTGTTTGTTGGTAGGTTTCTAAATACATTTTTGCTTTCATTGATTGATATTGGTTTATTTAATATTTTTAGATCTTGTTGATTCAGCTTATATATATGTTAATTCATATATATCTAGGAATCTGTCCATTTTTGTGCATTATTAGAATACAGGTTTTCAAAGTAGGTATAGGTGATCTTCTGGATTTCTTCAGAGTCCACTGTGATTTCACCCTTTTCATTCCTAGTTGCATGGACTTGACTTTTTCCTTTTTTTGACAAGGTTGAATAAGGGTTTGTCAATTTTATTTAATCTTTCAAAGAACCAACTCTTCAATTCATTGATTTGTTATATTGTTTTGTTAGTCTCCAATGTGTTAATTTCCACTCTACTGAGTTGTTTATAATTTCCTCCTTCATATGAACTGTTGGCTTAACCTGCTCTTATTTTTCTATAAGTTTGAGTTTCCTTATTATGTTGTTTATCTGCATTTGCTCTGTTTTCCTGATATATTTCCTGCTTAGGACTGCTTTCACTGTGTCCCAGAAGTTGTAATATGCTGTATTGTTGTTATCATTTAATTGTAGAAACTGGCAAATTTCTTCCTTAATTCCCTCTGTGACCTATGGGTTGTTCAAGCGGGTGCTATTTAAATTCCATGTGTTTATGAAGTTCTTGTGGTTTCTTTTGCCATTGATTTCCACTTTCATTGTACTATGGTCTGATAATATGTGTGGGATAATGCTTATTCTTTATATTTAAGCATGTTCTATGAAATGGTATGTGATCTGTTTTGGAAAACGCACCCTCTGTAGCTGAGAAGAATGCATATGCTGATGTTGTGAGCATTCTGTAGATATCTACTAAATCCATTTATTCAGATGTTTAGTTTAGTTCTGATGTTTTATTGTTTTTTGTCTAGTTCACCTGTCTTTTGTGACAGTGGAATATTGAGATCCCTCAATACAATTGTGTTAGTGCTTATTTGATTTTACATGCCCATTAATATTTGTTTTATATAGTTGGGTGTATTGGCATTTGTTGCATATATTTATGATTACTATCTTTTCCTCTTGAATTGTTACCTTTACAAGTATATAGTGACCTTCTTAATCTGTCTTGGCTTGAAATTTACTTTGTCTGCAAATAGTATCACTACCCCTACCTTTTTCTGGGTTCCTTTTTTATAGAGTATTGTTTTCCATCTTTTGACTTATAGTCTATGAATTTCTTTTTGAATTGAATGTGGTTTTGTATGCAGCGTATTGTTGGATTTTGCTTCTTGATCTATTCTGCCTGTCTATGTCTTTTGACTAGTCAACTGAGATCATTGACATCAATGGGCATAACTGATATATATTGACTTATCCTTGCCATGTTATTTCTCAGTTGTTGGTTTTCTCTCTTTTTTTCCCTCCCTCCGTTCATTGTTTGTCTTGTCTGGTAGATTCCCTCTGTTGAAATTCATGGAATTGTAGTCCTTATTATCTCTTATTATGGCCTTCAAAACATTTTGGAGTGCTGGTTTGATGGTATTAAATTTTCTCAGATGTTCTTTGCTGTGAAGGTATCTTATTTCTCCATCAATTTTGAAAGGTAGTTTTTGCAGAGTACATCAATCTGGTCATTTTCCTTTAGAAAGAAGGTTGTTTCCCTTTAGAACTTGAAATACTTCATTCCAAGCTCTCCTTGACTTGAGGTTTTGTGCTGAGAAGTCAGCTGTGATGGGCTTTCTTTTATAGGTGATTTGGGGGTTTTGCCTAACAGCTTTTAAGATTCCATTCTTGTGTTGAATTTCTGGAATCTTAACTATGATATGCCTGACTACAGATTTTTTTGTTGTGGTTCATTAGATGGAAGAATTTTTAACTCTGAAAATTCAACAGTATTTTTCATTTTTGGTGTTTCAAATCCTGATGGACGAGGATGTCTCTAAGCAATCCCTGGCCATTTCAGAATAATCCTAAATTAATGTATTTGTGTGATTCATTTGACAATCTGTGGATACATCTCTTGTTTACCCTTCATGCTCCTCAGCACCAGCACCAGGAGGCACAATCTCAGAGTGCAAGTACAGTTGTCAAGTCTGATGGTTGGTGAAGATAATAAGACCAATCCAGGATAAAACAGTTCCTCAGAAATAAAACTGTTATTCATACATAATTGAAAATTTTAAAACAATTATCTTAAACAAGCATGGCTTTTTGCATGTTATGGAGGAAAAACTGTTCTTCTGAATACATTTTATAATGAATAATTTATATCTAAGGAATTTCTAATATCATAAAGTTAGCTTCTAACTGGTAGACCTCTTCAAGTCTGTGATAATTCACGGGAGAAGGAGGACAAATGCTACTACTGAAAAATCATCACCAGAAATATCAGTTCACTGATGATTAGAAGACAAGCCCGTAGCAGCTTCCTGTTGGAGCGCTGGGGCCACTGATCTCCTGCCCTATTTTAGCACCTAGTGGTCCACGCTGTGGGAGACTTTACGATGAGCTGGGCCCCGCCCCAGGCTTTTCCTTCATTGTCTCATTTGATCCTCAATAAAGACTACAAAGAAGGAACCAAGGTACCAGAAAAACCCACATACCAGGGATTTCTTTTTAATCCAAAACTCACGACCAAACCTTTTTTATTTCATCTGGAAAATTCTGAAAAATAAATAAATGAATGGGAAATTCTGAGAACTGACGTGTACAATAAATGGAAAATCAGAAGAAAAATATGCATAGAATACCTGTGTCTCGAGGCACAGATTCTCCTGTTCTTTTCTTCCTGAGCCTTCCTTTCTGTATAAACTGTTTCTGAATTTCAAAAAAGCCAAATAGCATTTTTTTTAAGATTTGATCATTATATTTGTTGGCAGACCTATCCTAACCTTGAGTCACCCACAGGGAATTTAAGTATTATTCTAATTGATTTTTTTCACTGCTTACTGAAAAACAAAGCACCTTTTTCACTGGTCTCATAAATAATTCCATTTCTCTCTGTCAGCATTAATTGAACTTACCTCATGTTGTCAATCTCTCTTTCTTCCTTGCAGGTGATGTCATTGTCTATATTAATGAAGTTTGTGTCCTTGGACATACTCATGCAGATGTTGTCAAACTTTTCCAGTCTGTTCCCATTGGTCAGAGTGTCAACTTGGTGTTGTGTCGTGGCTACCCTTTGCCCTTTGACCCAGAAGATCCTGCCAACAGCCTGGTGCCACCCCTTGCAATAATGGAGAGGCCACCTCCAGTGATGGTCAATGGAAGACATAACTATGAAACCTATTTGGAATACATTTCTCGGACCTCACAGTCAGTTCCAGATATTACAGATCGGCCGCCTCACTCTTTGCATTCCATATCAGCTGATGGTCAGCTAGATGGCACGTATCCACCACCCGTCCATGACGACAATGTGTCTATGGCTTCCTCTGGGGCCACCCAAGCTGAACTTATGACCTTAACCATTGTGAAAGGTGCCCAGGGCTTTGGCTTCACCATCGCCGACAGTCCTACAGGACAGCGGGTGAAACAAATACTTGACATTCAGGGATGCCCTGGCCTGTGTGAAGGCGACCTTATTGTTGAGATCAACCAGCAGAATGTACAGAACCTGAGCCATACAGAAGTAGTGGATATACTTAAGGACTGCCCCGTCGGAAGTGAGACTTCTTTGATTATCCATCGAGGAGGTAAGACAAACCCTGGCTCAGCAATGCAGTGTGTGGGTAAAACAAGGAGGCCATGTGTCGCAGTGTTGTTAAGAGGAGGTTTCCGTACAGTGTGATGAAGTCATGCTTTTAAAGAAGAACAGTAGAAAGTAGTGAAAAGCATGTATGCAGGAAGCTGCATCTTTGAATTTTGAGGATATATATTTTCCTAGTTTATGTTGTACACAGTTATAATAGTGCTTTCAGTCTTATCAACATTTTGCTATGACCTTGGAGGGTAGAGGTTGAATCTCCAGCTATAAATGTCTTCTATCTCAAATGCTCATCAATGCTTCAGTTGTTGAGGACTCAGACTGGCTGCCCATTTGATCGATTGAGAAAGCTGCCTGGCTGCCCAACGGGGCAGTGCACTCCATTGTGTGCAGCATTCCAGGCTGGCAGGTGGGAGCTGGTTCAGCTTCCACCAAGCCCAAGAATAGGCTTGATAATCCCCTAAGAACCACAAAAGCTGTGTCCTGTCCAAGCTTTTTCCAGAGTTCAGAAGCATTTTTCGAGACACTTCTTCCTCTGTGGTGGGCACTACCCCCAACCGCACCTTCCTGAGCTAGGAAGGAGATACAAAGAGCCCAGCATGGGAGTTCTCGGCCAGCAGGGGCTCTGAGTGTGGAAGGACATTGCTTCCTGCCTTCCCTCTCTGTAGGGAGGGAGTGAGTACAGCAGAGGGTCCCTCTCTGCTTCCCTTAATGATCGGTGCCAAAAAGTAAAAACAAACCTGTCTCTGTGCTCTTGGTGACCAATGAAGCTGGGGACAAGGGATGGAGGTGACCACAGATAAAGTGAGTCCTCCAATACTTGACTGTGGCAAGTCCTGGATTCATTGTTCACGACACTTAGAAGTCCGTGAAGCTCAGCCACCTGACCTGTCACAAGGAGATGATGACACCATTGTCGCCAGTGGCAGTGTCCTCAGTTCTGAGCAGCTGCACAGGTGTACACGACCTCTCTGTTGAGTCTAATGTAACGTGGAAGCCTCGACCAAGAAGGGCGAGCAGGAGCAGTGCTGTGAGGAGGTCATGCATGAAGGCCGCACGCGTGGCAGACCTATGTGACAGCCTCATTCAGCACTCAGGTCCGCAGGGAAGCTCTGGCAGTTCAAACTGCGACTAAAAAAAGTCAGAGCCCATGAAACACCATTTGTGACTCCTTTGCCCCTGGCTGCAGGGATTTTGTTTTCAAGGAGGTAACATATCAGCAAATACTATGTGGTCATGAACAACACAGTATTGTGTGCCTACGTTAAAAATGAAAATTGCTGTGAGAGATAAGCCATAGTCAGTTTCACCTTCTGAGAGCATTGTTACAAAATAGTATTTGAATCGTGGTGGGGAAGTGTTAACGATGTATTTTAATTTCTTCCATTGCTTCTTTGCAATTAAAACAAACATTCCTAAATAAATAACCATATGTTCCTAAAGTCCTAAAATCAAATTTTTGGAACAGATTCTTAATGATGAAAGGTTTAACTGAACACCACTGTACAGTATCCACTGTCTGATTCATAGAAATTAACCTGGGCACAGTTCATAGAGTGGCTTCTTTTAAAGGCACGCCATACCAGGAAAATGAACCTTGAGGTCCTTTAGCTTCCTGCAACCTCTCCCTTTCTGAGACGTTGTGCACCTGTGTGTAGCCAGGTGGTCTTGTTCCTTCTCTTTCTGCTCCCTGCTCTCTCTTGCCCTCTCTGGCTCATCATTTAATTCTCAGGTAATCAATATTTTATGTGTACTTTGCTTGTTTAGGGAAGAGTGACTTGGTTTTATTTTTTGACTAGTGTAGAATTGCAGAGTGAAGTACTTTGAGATGCTTAAAGCACTTCTAGTCAAAAACCTTTTGAATTTCTCCAAATGCGTATAGTTGGTACTAAACCCTGAAATTAGTAGGACGTGGCACCGTGTTTTCGTGATAAGCTTCACTTTGATTATCTTAGAAGCTAGTAGTAAGTGCTTACTCTCTTTCAGATAGGCATAGATTTTCCAAAGCAGGGCCACAGGCCTGGGGTCTTATATCAGGACCGTGCTGGTTCTTATTATTGACTAGTACTGTATTTAAATTTATAAAGCAAATATGCACATGGCTGAATTATTTACCTGAAAGTACCAGATGAAAAGCAGTCATCTGCCCTGTCTGCATGATTTCAGTTCTTTTCCCAAACAGATACAGTTTGGCACATATTGCATATGCCAGAAAGTTGGTCGTCTATTGTCATGTATGAATGTATGTAGTACATTCAGTAGAAATAGGATGGTAGCATACATGCATATGCCTTGCTATAAACTATCTTAGTTATGAGAATTTGCCTTTTAGCAAATACATCTGCTAAAATTCGATAGAATTTACACAGCATTAAATTTACCAACTGCTAATACATATTTCGTTACATTTTGGTAGCATAAAGAAGCAGTTGTGTAATAAATACCACAAAGCCTTGGAATGGCATTTTTCCCAGCGCTCTAACGCCCTCTGAATGCCTGTCCTCTCTCATACCTCCACCCCCAGGTGACCACAAGTTTGCTGTCTAGTCTTACCTCTCTAGTATATTTTTATAAATAAAATCGCATAGTATTTAGTGTTCTATTTAGCATTCCACTGTTTAGAATTATCCAAGGGACACATGTATCAGTGGCTTGTTTCTTTTGCTGACCACTATGATTACATTGTATTAACCTAGTTTTGTCTATTCACCAATGATTACACATAAGGAGTATTTTCTCTCTGGGTACTTATGAATCATTTTTCTATAAATATTTGGACCCAACTGATTGCTTGTATGTTCGCTTTCACCTTTGTTGATCAGATACCTAGGAATGGCGTTTCCAGAAGCTATACAAAGTGTACATTTTAAGTGTTAAAAAATTATGAAAATATCCTCCCAAGCGGCTGCGCTGTTGGACGAGCCACCCGCAGCGCCCATAGCTGCCTGTTACTGCGCTTGTTTCCCACAGTTAGCTTAATGGGCCTTTTTTAATAGCCATTCCAGGGAGCACGACTGCTACTTTTTGTGGTTTCAATTTATATCTCTCTAACCTCCTTACATATTTTCATGTGTTTATTAGTGCTGGCGTGTCTTCTTTGTCAAAATCCCTAATTGAGTATCTTGCCTATTTAAGGTATTTTTTTTTTTTTGGTCTTCTTTTTTTATATATACTACTGATGAAAATCACTAGATGCAATTAAAGAAGTAATTAATGTTAATAGTTGGGTGGTGATATATGAGGTATACCATTATATAGATGTTATTTTCTATTAATATTTTATGTTTAGAATAATTGAACAATAACAAATACTTTTTCATGTGAGAACTTTGGACCTAGTTATTGCAAAGGTTTCTCACAAGTAAAGTGATTTAATAGCTTAAATCTATGGTGGCAAATTTCTCTCACAGGTCTTCTGATGCGCAAACAGTTTATTTCTACTTCTAGTGAGTAGTCTATTTAACTTTTTTATTATTTTAAAGAGAGAAAAATGATAAACAACAAAGCCAATTTTCAAAACAGATTAGTAGGACAGTTCTAATAGTTGATACATTGCATCTTGTTGCCTTTGTAGTTAATCAGAGTATAAGATGCAGGCGTGATATCGTGCCTAAATAATATTTGCACAAAACATTTCTTTCAAGGAAGTAACGGAAGCTAGCTGTAAAACTATATTAATACATCCGTGTAGACTATGTATCTTTTATTTTTCTCTTTCTTCCATTTGCCTTTAAGTTCCCTATGTACTCAGAATACGTCTTTAAAATAGCTGTCACAGCAGCAGTATCATATAGTACATGAAGTTTACCTGAGGCGCATGATTATTGCTAATTAGAATAAATAGTTGGTAAATATTATCCAACTCTGTGACTTGTCATTCATTCTCATTTCATTTTCTTTTTGGTAACTTTTGAATAACCAAAGTTTTGATATAGGGGCCGGGGAGATAGCTCATTAGAATAAGTGCTTGCCTGGCAAGCACAAGGGCCTCAGTTCAATCCCCAGTTCCGCGAAAAAATAAAGTTTTGATAAAGTCAAATTTACCAATTTTTTCTTGCATAGACCTTTCTTTTGATGTTAAATCTTTGCCTAACACAAAATTCTAAAATTTCTCTTAGGCTTTTTTTCTGTAAGTTACATATATTAACATTAATATTTAGGTCTATAAACTAATTCAAAGTAATTTTATCTATAACATGAAATAAGGACTCAATTCATTGTTCTAACACAATTTTCGGGGGGGGGAATCTATTCTTTCCCACTAAATTGTCTTTGCACTTTGACAAAGACTAATAAATAGAAATGTGGGGACTTATTTCTTGACTCTATTCTTTTTCATGAACTGTATGTCTATTACTCTAATAGTAATCTAGAAAGATGACTGTACCTCCATGTTGTGTAATGAAATCAGAGTGCTTCCCCCAACTTCTCCTTTTTCAAAATGAGTCTGTGTATTCCAAGTCCTTTGCAAGTTTCTACAGATGTTAGCTTTGCATTTTACCATTACTTTGTTAAAGGCCTGCTGAGACTGCTGTTGCTCTAAATATAGAGAACAATTTTCCTCTTTAACATTAAGGTTTTTGGTTCTTAAACATGATCCCCATCGCTCTTCAATCGTTTGGGTCCTCCTCAACTTGCCTCAGCACTGGCTGACAGCCTTTATGGTACAGATTTGTACTTCTTTTGTCAAATGTATTTCTAGCTTTGTGTTATTGTAACTAGAATTGTTTTCTTGCTTTGTGCAGTGGTGGTGGCGGTGGTGGTGGTATTATACTGGGAATTGAATATAGCAGCATTGAACCACTGAACTATATCCCTAACACCTCTCCCCTTTTTAAGACAGCGTCATAGTTATTTTCCTTGTTGCTGGGACAGAATGCCTGGCACTTACAACTTAAGGGAGGAGAGGTATATTGTGGTTCAGGTGTCAGTCTATAGTCTGCTGGTTCCACAGCTGGCTGGCATGGCATGGACCCTGGTGGAGGAGAA